AAATAGCAATTAAGTACAGTTTGTAATTATATTTTAATGTTGATAATTTTCATAATGGAACATAAACATTGTTTTATCACTTATTCAAATATTGTCATTTAGCTTAAATTTATATTATTTGTTTATTTGAGTCAAATAAACAGAAAAGCAAAATAATAAATAAATCAAAAGTTGGAAAACTTTGTAAAGTGTGACAACGATAAGTCGTTTGCGAAAAATGCTTTAAGCGTTTTAATATAGTTATTTATGTTATGAATATTTTAGATTGTTTGGGTAAAAATCAATAGTGACTGTGTTATGTCATTACCCGTCGTCAATTTCGTTTATACATCAATTTCTAATCAAGATAAATGCTGGCAAAACAATTTTTCGCCGCCTTTCGCGTTTAAATTAAATATTCGATTTATTGTTCGATTAGTCATGAGTTCGAGCGGCAAAAACAACAAATTATCGCATCCATTTAAGCATTTAGCTGAAATTTAATTGTCTTAAACAAATAGTTGTGCACAATGTAAAGCTCCTTCGAGAATTCCATTAATTTACAGCAATAAACAAAGATTTTCATTACATAAATTTTGTGCGCCGTTGCAAGAACAAAACAATGCTTAATGACCTCGCCAGCATGGAGATGAAATTACTTCTGGCTCGTTTTAATCCCACACACGCACAATACACGTAAAAGCTCGTATATTTTTTTAACGCGACGTCGAATAAATCAATTTAAGCAGGATCTCGACAGATGGTACAGAAACCGGCAAAAAAGGACGTTATTTTATTATTTCTCCGGTTTTCAGATCTCTTAAATTAGCCGAGCTTTGAGTTTTACATGGTCTAAGATGTGAGCATACACAGGTAAACGTTTGGCCGATTAAACTCAAATACTACACTAATCCGGACGCTGATATCTTACGTGCCTAAGTTAATGAAGCTATTACTATGCAAAAAGGATGTGCCTTCACTTGAGGAATTGCCGGTAATAATTAGAAAGGGTATGGTTTAATAACCGGCTTGAGGACAAATGTAACAAACTAATTTAAAAAAATCTATTATAAAATTCAATTTTTATTAAGTTTACTTTAGCAATCAAATTACTTTGAGCTGGCGCTTCCTACCGTGGTTAATTGTTTTTAATAAAAATTGTTATTTCTGCAAACAATGTAAAAACGGAAAATCTGTGTGCACAGTTTGTCCAAAAAGATTAATTATTTTTTGAAAAATATTATCAGATATTGTCTCTGTTTAGCTGCCTTATTACATTTATAATAAAAAAAATAATTGTTTTAGTCAAATAAAATTAAGCGTAAGGCGTAAGTGTTTTAAACGCGCTTATAAACGAGTGTTATACGCTATTTTTTATTATACTTGCCCATTTACGATCTTTTATGAGCATAGAAAAAATGTGAATTTACACAATAAAATTATCAAAGGTTGTTTGTGAATCGTTTTCGTAGAGACGGTTACTAGTTTACGTTGTTACGCACATTTTTCACGTTGTAATTATTCCTAAATTTCCTACAAAAAAGTCCGCAAGACCATATCTGTATCTTCATCCGTTTAGGTTTAAATCAATTTTCTGTCTCTTGACCACCGGTAAAAATGAGCCGTATTCGTCGTTTGAGCGTCTTTGAACGTCTTTAGGACGTAAACCATTGAAGATAGAGGGATCATCTCGCGGACCTTTTTTTTTTGGAAATTTCATTCTTTACAACTTTCTTTTTTATATTTTTCTTGTATCTTTAACCGTATTCGTAGCATTTTCAAAAATATGCAAATTGCTAAATGTTTTGAAATTTTTTTAAATATAGTTTTTAATAAATTTTTTGTATTATCTTTATCTCTTATTATTGAGAATTTAATGTTCTATCTGCCTTTATTTTTTTTATTCTTCGACACTGTCAAAATTTACGGTTTTTCTCCCGTGTAAGGAAGTTTTGACAACTGTTTGGCATTTCTCAATACAAAACGTCAAATTATTTTTAACAGATTTAAAGCAAGTTTAAGCCTTGTTGACTCTAATTCGAAGAATAAAATGTTGTATTCCACTCGTTTGAGTGTAAATCGGACGCTTTATTCAACCTCGTGGATGGTAAACCACTCGTTACACTCGTGGATTAAAAATCCACTCAGTCAAATAAAGAGTCCGATTTACACTCAAACTCGTCGAATAAATAACTATTATTTGCGTTTTGCTCATCGTTATGTAAATACAGCCATTTTTTTAATTAAAACTTGAACGGGAAAGGAACAACTGCGCTATCTGGCCTCGCTAACGGAACTATCGAGAACGGGGACGTTTTGTTTTACATCGTGTCGTATCCTCGTCTTTAGGTATCCGTAGTTGGGACACTGAATGTCAGTTTTCTAATTTTTCTTTTATATACGTCGGTTGACGTATAATAACAATTAAATCAGTGGCGTTTTGGTAAAATTTCACATAAAGTCAGATAAATTTGTCAAATAGAAATTGACCTCTGTCCTCGCTTATTCTGACCAATTCTGCTGTGTCCTATTATGTTAATACATAAAGAAACTGTAAGTAGTTTTTTGTGCCACCTTGCCCCCACGTTCGAGACAGACTCACCAAATGGAGATTGGGTCCCAAAAGTAAGATTTATCAAAAACGAAGGTGAAGCTTTTAACAAGATGAAGGATTTATTATTCGGTTGTTTGGAGTATTTTATTTTATCAGGCCAGGTCAGGTCTAATTTTGTAAGTTTCAGGTTTTAAAAGGTTTTCTGGAGACACTACCAAGTTTTTATTACTCATGGTAAATGCTGTATGCAGCAATTGTTTTACTTTTGTGTGTACATTTTGTTCACATAGCTTTTTCCTGTCTGGCCGCATCTCAATGTCTATTTATCTCCTACGTCCCTGATTAAATCTGACGTAAAATTATGTCAATTTGTCAATGGGACAAAATTTATAACGTTAAAATAATTTTTGAAATAAACATGACAATAGTTGCTACGAAAAATTTTAATGAAAATGGAGAGAACGTATATACCTTATCCACATAATACAAAATTGGCTCGGTATGACGTTCAGTGTCCCAACTCTTCAAATATAGGAACTCTAGTCCTGATATTTCACTATTTCTTGTTACCTAAACAATATATTAAAATTCAGCGTACTATAAACGCCAAATTACGCACGCTGCAGCGTGTTCTAATTTAGGATTATGATGCAGGTATAATAAAAAATGTATTATTTATATACAATGTATAATGTAAGTTATTTAAATTATTATTTTTTTTTGGATCAACAACGTTTATAATTAAAAAAATTTTAAAATTAAGTAAATCTAATTTTGTTGTATTAATTAAATAGTGACTGAAAGTATAATTTAAATGTTTGTAACAAGCCAGTTTCGCATTTGTCCAACATTAAAAGTATTTTATGATGTTATTTTGTAGTCATAATTAAAAACTAAAACCACAAAACTTACTTCGTTTAGTACAACATTACTTTATTCCGTTTTTTTTATTAATATAAGTTTAAAATGTTTTCAACTTTTTAAATTTTAGTACGTCGTGACAACGTGTTATGTAATATAATTCTATTAATTGTTACACCACGAATACTAAAATTAGTAATTTGATAATAATAATTTAATAAACACAATTTTTTTGTACCTATACAAAACAATACATTTAAATTGTTGCTAATTATGCCATAAATAATAAAAAAAAAATTTTGTTTTCTTATTACAAAAGTTAGTGTTTATTATGTCCATTAGGTATTTAACATTTCTGGAAAAAAATATTTTTAAAAAATTATTATTAATATGTTCTTTTACACAAAAAAGGAATAAGTTACAAAAGATGATGGATGCTCTGGGTTCTATTACATTTTCTTTTGATCACAAAAGTTATTATTTTTAACTTTTTTCTGTTGATTAGAACCGCAATTTGTGCTATAATCAGCGTCTTCCTTATGACAGAAAGCTTCTGTAAAACTTTAAAATCGATGAGTTACAAAGAGCGATTGGAGAAACGTCTAATGAGATGAAACACAAACACTTTTTTTTTTAGATTCAATCCTAAAAAAAATTTCTTTTCCATCCCAGTCATATTCTATAACACTTTTTTTTAGGCATATACAGGTCTGTAAAAATCTGTTTTATTAAATTTGAAATGGAAGAATGATGCTAATTCAAAAACAGTGACAACTGGATTTGTCAAATGTTGAAGCTATTTAAGCTTTTATGTTTTAAGTCGTATTAATTTGAAGGTTTGAAGGAAAAATACGATAAGCGGTGTAAAAAAATTGTCAAAACTGTTACTCCTATCGATAATATTCCTATTTTCGGTTCTTATAAAATGTGGAATCTTTAATAATCTGTCCAGTGCTGGAATATCTTCAAATTTAAAGCTTCTCTTTGCTTTTTCCTTTGTAATTTTATTGAGATTAAAATTCTATATTGGGGTTTTGTCCTATTCTACTATTCAAGACAACATGCAACATAGTATCCTCAATATTAAGATGGTCACCTTCAGTCAAAATTATAGCTTCGAAAAGTTGCTTCATTAAAAAAAAATATTCATAAATGTTATTATCACTACTGTCAAACAGAAAAACTTATTAGTCAATCAATCACAGTAAAAATATAGGTTCCAATTGCGATTACTTATAAATGAAGATTTGCAACAAATGCAATTTAGTTTAACGCTATTTTGTTAACCTTACCTTACTTCTATTAACGTAGACCATAATTACGCTATTTTGCAATAACTCTCGATTGCCGTTAGCAGACCTCTAATTACCAATTCATGTAATTCAAACAGAGTAGCTATTAACAGTGACTTCCTGACCCCTCGTCTGTGCTCTCACAAGATAATAATACCCATGAACTAACCGCGCAACCAATTCCGATGTACCAATAACTAGTGCTTATTGCCAACTAACCACAACCGACCCCCGATCGATACCCCTAATGAAATTTAATTCGTAAATTCCAATCATCACGCCTCCCAATTGTTAATCTATTTTTGGTATTTCAGAGCAAACTTTTTGTGCTTCAGTCTGCAGCCAGTGTGGTTTCACGTTACAAACGTCGTCCTGCATGCTGCCGCCTGCATATTGTTCACCAGGGTATGCCTGAAAATCGCCGCCTTCAAGCCCCCGTTCGCAACGCTTGCCGGCCTCTTATTTGCCGCCCATCCCATCCACACGGAAGCGGTCAGTTTTATTTCTCTATTTCTTAACTTATTGCCTCGTAAATGCCTATCGGTCGTATTGGTTTCTCGACTTCGCCGCCGAGCAAATGCTGGATTAAAAGTGTCCCGAATGAAATTTTTCGACCGAGAAAATAAGCATTTGTCTTTTTTATAGACGGCTTTTCTAATTCCTAAACGAAAATTGCGATGCGAGACCTTCGACGCCTACGAAATCCGGACATTTTATCCAGCAGCGATTTTATTTGTCAAATAAAAAACCGGTAAAACAGGTAAATGTTGCAATTTATTTTCGGACTGCATCCAAAACTGCAAATGTACATTCTTTTTTTAGACCGTAATATAAATCCAAGCAAGTAAATTACAAAATAAATTGAATTAAATGTCGCTTTTTATTATTAGCCGACTGGTACAAAAGCAATCACTGAAACCAATCGTAGCGTTTTCGAATCTGATTATCCTTGAACGGTTGAGCTATATATCAAGCAGGATAATGTGGTAGGCTTTATTGTAATCTCGGTATTGATGCTCCACTCAACTCCCTGAATACATTGTACCAACTTCATTGGTCTGATGAACGCCCCTACACAGAATCATGTAAATTGTGTGTTAAATAAAGGGCATTTATAACAGCTGCCTCAAATAATTTACAGATTAGTTGCGTGTATTTCCGAGGTTTCATTGTAAGGCGCCAGATTATAACACAATACAGTGGACAATACAATTACAATTATAAAAAAACATCTTGCATTTAATAGAAAAAAAAATAGTTTGACGCTTTGTAATAATCAATATTTACTTAAAATAATACATAACTGAAAAACTACAGTCAGTAATAATTTAACACAAACAATAAAATTATTACTGGTCAATATTTGAAGTGGTATTGTTTCAAATATAAAAGCTATTGAGTTGAATTGTAAACAATAGAATAAATTTTAAAATGTAGTTACAAAGTCGTTGTAAACATTACAGCTAATCTTGTAGCAAAACAGTGTTTGGGCTTTGTGGAATTGCTTCGTGTTTCAGTTCCAGGGTAAAGGCTTTATATTGTGTTGTAAAAAAGTAAACATGTTTATCGTTTACTTAAGAGACAGAATCACTAGAAACGGTATTTTTCCAAAAGATTAATTAAAATCAGATTGGAATTTCAATTAAATAAACCAACCGACAGAACAATAATAACAATTGATTACAACTCAATGCAAGTATTTGGGTTCTAGTATAACAAGTGGGTAATTGAGCGAATCTTCCGTTTGCAATTTCCGGCAATGTCGTCCGAATGATTGGCAGAATAGTGATTCAATCTGATTAAAAATTAAAACTTCCTTTCTAATATAAAATGTAATTTCATTTAAAAAAGTCATAGGCTCGAATGACATTGGAGAATTTGGGGCCTAATTTACATGAACTAAATTAAAGTAATATCTTTCAGACAACTGCCTACTTCAGGGGGTGAATAATTAAATTCAAAAATTGCACGAAAACGTCTTAATTAACAGCAGCAAGTTGATTTTTTTATAAAACCGTCTAGAGTCTTAATTAAATTGATTGATTTTAAGTATTGGCGGTTAATTAGTTCGGTTAAGTAAACCCCCGATTAGCGTACAAACGAAACTATGACACACACAAAAGGAAATTCTCTCTAGAATATATTACTTAATAATAAACTTCCAAAGCCATGGGGGCTGTGTTAACAAGGGTCGGATAATCTATTAAGAGAAACAGCATGGAGGCGTTTTACCAAATTTCAATTTCGGTAAAACGAGGTGTTTGCCACGAATTAAAAATAATTTCTTGTGGTGTGGCAAAAAGCACGTGTTTGATTTATTCCCAACATTGTTTGTTTTGATGTGAAACAAGCCCTAAAGGAATTATACAAATGTGGTGAGCGTAAACTCAAAGTTTCGCCTGGTAGATAGAGTATTGAATTTGGATGGGTTGTTAAACAGACCAGAGAAATCTGTGCTTTCATGTGTTTATTCAAAGGACGGACATATTAATAGAAAATCAACAAACAATTAATCAAATGCAAACAAAATTCATCCCGCGAATAAATGCACACACTTTAGACAGTTCAGATAAAAGGAATTTAACTAAAACTTCTACTGTAATATAACACAATTTTAGTTAACAGCAAGTCTCGAGAGACTTTGAAAAATATAGAAATTTACGATGGCATCCAATTTGCCTAATCTAACGCCCCCCAGGCACTTCATTAGTGCAATATCAGTTTACTCGTTTTTTACGAAATAAATTTTAGAACTGGTCAACTTAAATTATTAAAGTGTAAAAGTTACAAAATTTATTTAATAATAATTCTTAACTAGTATTTTTCCACTGATCAAAAATGGTGGACTCGCCGGGCTAATTTTCATATATATTTGTAGGAATTTCTATTAATCATCAGAATTAGAACGCAATATTATTTAGGTTTTTTTATCTAATAAGATTAATCGAAACAAAAATTCTTTTTTTTTTACTCAAAACTGAAAATTTATGTTTTTTCTCTGCTACTAATTCGTCTCAAGTTTGCCATCTTCATCATATTCTATATCAAAATTTTGCTCTTATCTCGTATGATACGGCTTTGCAAAAGTGCTTGTAACTTATTTAAGTTGGCAGAAGGGCGAGCAGAGTTCGGTTTGAGCCAACACACAATATACCGGGATATTGCAGTCAGCAGAGCTTTCAATGTTGCGGCTTTATGTGCTATAAATCTAACATGAGTGGCTGTATAGAATGTTGCCTAGAGCAGGGGCAAGATATATCAGTACCTCAACCTCAAAAAGCCGATATCTGAACCACTTATATGCATACTCAATTCTCAATATGTTACGCACTCAGACACTCATGACTAAATCCAGAGACCACTCCCCACGAAACGACGCTTCACTCTGTTTGCACGTATTCCATTTGAATTTATAGCCGAGACGAGAAATATGGACTTGTTTGTCACATTTCTAATACTTTGTGATTTCTATTTTATAGGTATGACGCCGCTGGCAAAATATTTTCACGAATGCTCGTGCCATAAAATATTCACAATAGATTTTAGAAACATCAATAATTTAACGCGACAAAATACGAAAGAATTAATTTCTTTCTATCATGCATCATATGCTTCCAAGTTGCTGCTTTATAAGCGCAACAAAAAGATTCACTGTAACATTTTTCCAAATAAAAACACCAAATCAAACAGTCTGATCATTTTAAATTTCTCTTCATGCAGTCTCTAATCAATTTTCAATTAATCAAACTTGGATAATCACAATATTATTCACATAATTGGTTTATTTTCCAATATTGCAATGCACAATCACAAAATAATTCCAATATCAAATTACACGTTTTTGTTGTATCAATTAATAAAACTAGTAAAGCATTTAATCTTGTTAAAGCTTAATAACACGTTATCAAAACATACCATATTATTCTAATTAAAACCAGGTATTTAATTTACGACGTTGGTACAAACATGTACAACACTCATTTAAGAACTCCAAGAACAGAGCTATAAAACAAGCTAAAACGAACGTTACAAATATATTTGTCCTGACTTATAAAATATTTTATTCTACTGAATAATATTAGAAATCTACGAAAGTATTTTATAACAGGTGTTTTTTTAATTTGAAGTCTTACTTGGCAATGACTATAAGTTTGTTGTAAACTGCCCACAATTTTTAATACGCCGGGCAAGGTGTCAGATGAATTAATTAATAACTAGAAATACAATAAAAATAAAGACTTATTTTTTTACCCAAAGTACAGTTTTTGCGGAAGAATTGTTGCTGTTTCCGGACGAAGCGAAACCGAGTCTGGAATAACAGGCGAGTCCGCAAAAACGATTCAGGTTTCAGGTGTTACAAACACCATTTTTTTTAAACCAACATAATAACTAAACTGACTTTTTCAAAAAATTTTAATCTTTATTTTTTGATATTTGACTCTATTTAATGTTACTGATAATCTTGTATATGTTATTTTTCCATAATTATTTAGTGAAAATAGAAAAACTTCTAATGACCTGCAGCAAAAAACATAAAAAAATCATTTTTCTAACAAAATACGAAGTGCAAAATTTAAACCCCATAATTTCAAAATTTTTGTATGTAGATAGAATTTTTTTAACAATGTTTCAATATTTCTGATATCCTAACTTACTTAGCATTTTTTTCTGTGGCGCGAGTGTTGTAATATTAAGTTAAATGTTGTTACTAACTGTAACTAAAAATTTTTCGTTTAGTTTTCAATGTTGTCTCCGAAATCAAAAATAGAAAAGAAATATCGAGTTAATTTCTCAATAGTAGAAACAGTCGTTTTCATTATCTCGATAGTGTTGTGCTTTGAATGGCTTCCATTTCGTCTCGAAAACGTCTCACAGATGCCTGATAAAGACGTGTAACATCTTGAAATAACGAGATATACGTCAATATTCTTTTCTTCGTAAAAGTACAACCATAAAAAGATAGTTTTCAGAAAATTTCCTTTTCGAATATCTCCTATATTATCGTTTAAGATCTGAAACTCAGAATGACGTAATGTTTGAAAAATAACACAAGTAAAAAGCTCTATAAAGAAGATAGGCTTTCTGATAGCAATTTGATGTTATAGCATCTGAAAATCCACACAATACATCAACAGATGTTTAACAATTGTAACACAAGTCAAGGTAATTTAAATTCTGAGGATCGAGCATCAGCTTACATTTAATTTTCTCAAAAGTTTGTCCATTTTTATTTTCTCCACAAATCGTTTAAAAATTTAATTAATGTTTTGAGAAATTTGTTTAAATATTCTTTTCATATTTATGAACTGTCAGTTCCAGCAATTCTCGTGTTTAACCAAAAGGGTTATTATAACCTCTCTAATACATTATAATTTTATTAAAACAAAACCTGTTTTTAGAATAATTTTCATTAGATCAATGAATTTGGTAATTAATTCTATATGTATGGATATATATTTAAATTATGCAAAATCAATGGAAAAAATAAATGGCAACACAATATGAAATTATTTATTAATCTCGTTTGTTGCTCCGGGAAAATAAATTGTATTGATCTCTAAGCTTAATAAAAAAATAAAAAAAATGTTGGTCAAGACTCCCAGGATGATTTGTGACAACATAAAGGTTTGAAATTCGAAATTCTCTGAATTCTCATCTTTGTTTGAATCCTCGTCGGTGGAAGAATTTTCAGAGAGTTTCGATGTCAGAAGTATGCATGTATGTATGTCAGTCTTTTAGAGATTTGTTTTGTTTGAGGTTAAGTGGTTATTGTTGTTGCAGGTGACGGGTATAGTGGGCAGAGCAGACGTTTTAGCTTGCGTCTTCTTCTTAGTATCGCTCCTGGCATATCACGGGTAATAACACTTCACTATATTGCTTACGTGTCTCTCTCTTTCAACAGAAATATCTGGAAAATGTCACACGACAAGAATGTTTATTGCATCCGAAAGAATGTTCTGACTTTGTCAAATGAGAGATTAAAAAAAAACTTTCAATTAAATCCGTTTTTAATAAAACAACGTACCTATTTTACGATGTTGCTTGCAGCAACATCGTTTTATTGGATTGCATTATTTAGTATTCATAAAGATTATATCTGAAGTGTATAAGGAAAATATTCACAAGCTGTTGAACAAAGATGCAATGAACAATGTCTTACTGAGATACAGCTCGTTGTGAGCTTTTTAGAGCTTTCAATTGCAGCAAGAGAACCATCATGCATGAACACTACAAAACTTGTTTTTTTACTTACTTCTAAAAATAACTACCTGTTTAAAAGCGAAAAACTTAACCAGCTTTCGTTTTAATTGTCTATGTTTATCTTTCAACGTAAAACTACCTGAAAAAACAAAGCAGTTTTATTTGCATGAATTTCATGATACTAGCAATATCGTAACCCATCAACGTAGAGTGTGCTACGATGATTAAACCTATTTCCTTAAGGGACTATAAATACCTCAATAGCAAACAGCGCGGCAACAATGTTGAATTTTATTTAAATAATTTAATACAAGTGCTTCAGAAAACGTTCGTGCGAAAGAAATAAAATGTCTAGAAACCCGCTGATGTATTAGTTTTTTACAGCCTCTGAGCCTTACAGAGTATAGCGAGGATTGAAACGGCGGAATAGAAAATGTTACACGCGTTTTATGTGGAAACACTGGAAATTGCACTTGGGTATAAGGAATCGTTATTAAAAGTGACTTTAGCGACTAGGCTCGAAATTAAACTGACAAGACGCTTAATCTTAAGCTAGTGTCACAAACAATGTAGGAAAAATTGTTGATTAACGGTCGCAAAAATTATAAAAATAGAATTAAAAAAAAAACATTACGCCATTTGATTGCAAAATCAGCAACAATAGTGCTTTCTAAACACACGCTATTTGCAAGTCAGATTCTTTTTTTCTCTACATTTTTTTCACATAAAGAATATATTTAAATTCAAACCCTTAATTTGGTTAAGAAAAAAAAACTTTAACGTCATCGCGTTTTGAAATAAGTTATAATGTTAATAAAATATGAACCAATAATGGTTGTAAATATAAATATGTAAATGTTGGCAATAAAAGTTGTGGTGGGCATAGCGCCTGGCTTTAACAATCATCCTAATGACTGTTTTAATTGTTGGGTCCTTGTTTTGTAAAATCCATTACAAAGCCCGAATTTCGCGAGCCAGTAAATTTGAATGATTGCCACCGAAGCTTGGCAAAAATAACATGTCTGATGGTCCTCGTCCGAGCGAATGAGCTTTTGCAGTTATTTCCAATGAGTTCTCTCGTCAAACAAGCAGCAAAAATCTATGAAACTCCCGAGGGTCCAAAATTAATTAATCTATCCACATATAGGTACTTGCAAACCGTATTTTTCAATTACCAAAGCCAGCAGCTGGCACCAATAGTCTGCCAGATAGCAAAGAAGACAACTCGCGCGCTTGGTCAAACATTAAAAAAACTCCGGACCGGCTTTTGTACTACACATTTGCATTTTCAATTTCCCTCCGTCGTGTTAGTGGATGCGTGTCAAAATATGTGAATATAAAGCATAGAGGATGTGAAAATTGCTTTAAGCAGATTCTTTTAGAATCGTGTTAAAATTCCGGACGGAGATTTTTAAAATAATTAATTCGCGCACTTAACTCAACGCTGAGAGACAACGCTCAACACATAAATTTTTATTTTCACGCGAAACGACTTCTATTGACTTTTATTGTAAGATAAACTTACGAATTTACGTCGGAGCGAAAAGAAGCTTTTTTTCTAATTTTATGCGCGATGACGCGCTTCAACACTAACTAACTTTGATAAGGGTTGTTGGGAACCCTGCCAATTTCACACTTAACATTTATTATTACGCTTTTTCACGTTCACTCAATCGGTCCGTCTTCAAAAATTAAATCACAAAAACGATTTTGAAACGTCTTCAAACGACGGCTAATTTTTGCCGCGATTGTTCCTCTGCTTGGCATTTTATTCGTTTCGTATCATGTAAAAGCTGAGATGCAAACACGTAGCAGTTTATGTAATATTCAAGGACGGTGGGTGTTCATATTCATTTTGTTGAGTTTATCCGAGCGATTTCCCAGGTGTTCTAGAAGAAAATATCTTACTGGCAAATATAAATAATGTGAACCTTGGGATTGGAAAACTCCGCTCTGTTATTTTGAATATTTCATTACGTTTCGATTGCAGTACGCAGAAATCTTGCAAATTGCTGCATTTGTCTGAAATTATAATTTTTAGTTCCACACACACAAAATATTGAGGGGTGTATTATTATGTGTATTTGGCGATAAAATTTTTATGGTGCTAGTAAATTTGTTATGTAGAAGTAAATTTTATATACCTACTCTATATTTTATTCATTTGACATATGGATTCGTAACAATAGAAAATGAAATATTTTATGATTCCCGATGATATGCTTTATGCGGTTGCAATCCTTTATGATGTCAAAAGCGACATAGTCGAAACGTAAGTCATAATATTTTTTTATTGTGCAGGGTCAAAGGCCATGAATAAAATATAGAGGAGTTTCTAAGCGAATCCTAATGCTTCCGCTGTCCACAAACAGCGTAGATAATAACACAACCGTCAATTCCATTTGTGCTATCCGTTGCAAATTCGTCTCTTTGTGCACCGGAAACGAGAAATATTAAGTTTCAGCCAAAAAATTAATCGTTTCTGAACCGAATTCGCTCCTAATTTATACTTCTGGGTCAGCGACAATAAAAACATCGACGAAAAATAAAATAAAAACCATACACAGCGGAGTTACCGCCCATATAAAATACCGATAAGTCAAGAATGAGGAATGATAGAGACGCACGTGAAGAATGGCCGGGTTCTTTAACTTTTTAGGTGAAATTGATGGATTACGTGTCATTGGAGTAGGAGCTTTAGCCTGTAATACGAAGGGTGTGAATTGCTAACAAGACTCGAGTACGAACTGTTTTCAGCTAACATGGAAGATTATTAGCATTCTCCTGATAGGCAATAGCAAGACACGTCGATGCAACCTCTACCACAATACGAGTACAACAGAATATCACAAAACCAAACCAAAAACATTCTTGATACTCGAACTCACTCAAAGAAATTTCTGGTCAGATACAACGTGGGCTATACGACGTAATAATATAATAAAAGTTTGTAGAGTTGTGCAATTTAAAAAGAATGTCAAGCACAAGAACTAGGACAGTCTGGCTTGGTTTAAAGAACAAAACTTTGGCCTGCGAAAAACTTCAACAGAATTTTACCACTAAAAAATTTACAAACTCCTGTGGCAAAAATAATTATTTACGAAATGATTTATTTGGTATCAAAATTGCGATTTGTCTTTAAAATTTTCAATAAAAACAGCCGTAATTCTTGCTCTGAAAAATATTTTTCGACCACCGATAGGAAAATATTTGTTTAATTTAAAAATGGTGGATGCGTCTGGTAGCTTCAAAGCTTTGATCTTTTTTGAATAAAAAATACAAAAACCCCTAACCCAAAAATATTAAATTATACAACATTCCTATTTTAAAAAGTGCATTATTATGCAAAATTTTCCTAAATTTCTCTATTTAGAAAAGTAACCATTCCTCAAGAAAATGTGATTTTCCTTTTTGTCGAAGCTATCTCGTCTGTATTCAACAAGGTTATTTTGTAGGCGTTCAAGACATTGAATAGTAAGACCGCTGTCAAGTCGTCTTGTGAACGGATTGAGCAGGATTGAATTTTCTTTGGTTAGTGTTTACAAATTCGCTGCTGCTACCACAAAATAAAATTTCCAACCATAAATTATTTTTACGATAAATTATTTTAATACAATGTTAACGCCACAAATTACATTTACACAAACCAATGTGTGGTTTCGGTAATTTGTATCTTCATTTATTTGCTTAATAAATAATGAGTTTGAGTTATTGTTGCACTATAATGGTAATTATTGTTGAGTGTTTTCATGAAATAAAACGTTAGAGTAGGTACAATTTAACAAAAAAGATTTCGAAAAAACCTTTTCCAAATTATCCCCGAACGGGAATTCTGATACAAAACTTTATTAACCTAAATTTTAAGTAGTAAAAAGCTTTTGCCCAAATCTCGATTTGAAGCACGCTAAGAAAATATTTTTACAAAACAATTTAATTTACAAACACGATATTTGTATTACAAACATGTTTTCGTAATATAAAGATAAAAACAAAACATCCAATCAAAATTGTTCCGTAAATTTTTTGAAAAAAGTGAAACAATTTTCCAATTAATTTTACCAGTTTCACTAGTATGCAATTAATAATGAGACTCTATGTTTAAATTGGTGATAAATTCGGTGATATTACTACTCAATAATGTTTAATGAATCATAACAGTGGATTTTATGAATCTTAAAAAATGAAGACTCGCTTTGATTTTATCCCATTTGATCCAATCACGCCTGAGTAAACTTTAAATTATTAAAATAAAAGAAAAAATATTTAGAATTGAAAGTATCTTTTTAAAAACTTAATTAAAACAGATTATATATAAAATCCATATCTTATACTTGAAAAGAATTTTAATATAACCGTTTCAGTTTTTTCACCTTTACCTGATCAGTGATCAGTGAACTAAAAATTAATATATGTAATTTAAGTTTCAGTAAACTTTTAATTTGAAACTAGAATTTAAAAAAAAATATTAAAAATGTAACTCAAACTATGCTTAAGAATCATTGACAAACAAGTTGTGTAAATATTGGCTTGATCATTCCGAGCAATTTAAAACAAGTATCATTTGTTTGTAAAATTCTGAATAATGGCTCTTATGGATCAAAGAGCGGTGAACTTATTTAGTTCTATGTTCTAGCTATTGTACACCATATTCAAAGTAAATAGATTTCTTGCATTTAACTTCTAGTCACGTAGCAACTTTTAAAAATTTGACATCAAAGGATCAAGTTATTCAATATGCAAGTTTTGAAGAATATAGAACGTTAGAACACATATCTAGCTAGTTTTAAGCTAAAAATTCGTAGATAATCATTCTCTTGCCTCCACTTTATTTAAAAGAATTTTAATAAAACTCCTACGCAACTTTTAATTGGCACTTTAGAACTTGTTTAAAATTTAATAGAAAAATTGTTAAAAGTAGGAGCTATGTTGCAGGCATCCCGACGGCAAGTGTCATATCTGGATCAGCGTCTCTTTGGGAGGCCTCAGTATGTTGGCTAAGGAAACCGGAGTCTCTGTTTTTTTGCTCAATTTGGCGTACGACTTTTATCGTCATTGGCCTGCCGTTAAAAAGTAAGTATGCATGACGTTCGAGATCGATTCTCGTGGCCGTTTTATCCTTCAAAGTGTAATTGGTTTTGGTCACATTGTAAAACGAAGGATAATTAAAATTACGCTGAAATTCTAGATCAGCCTCCGTTTCATTGAAAATAGAATTGGCGTTGTTTTCAACTCTTGTGTTGAAAATTAGTTGATTTCAAAATTAATTATAATTTGCATAATGCATACAATAAACGTCAGTTAACAACAGTGAGTGACAACGTTAAATTGAATTTTATCAACAGGCAGGTATGAAAGTGAATTAGTTACTATTCATTTTATTGTCGCGAAAGGACGAAATATCCTTTGAAATTTAAATATTAAGCCACGTTCCGGTTACATCCATTTTTCATGGAGCGGTATTGTAAATGCTAATAAAATCCTAGAATTCCACATTTAATTAATTTTCTTCACATTGTTTCTAGAACAATAGTCGAAGTGAGATGGAATCAGGAAACCCAGCAATTTGCTAATAGAGCTGCAAAGGTCCTTACATCGGTAAGTGCAATTAACTTTATAAAATCAATATTTAAAACATTAATTAACAACTTAAGAGGAAGTTTCGTTCAACTCGAAAACTCCGAGAATTAAATGAGCCCGAAAATCTATGTCCGGACTTTTTTCCAGATGATCTTTTTCATGAATTTTTAACTAATTTCCCAATTAAACTAAACGGGAAAAATTCCTGTTTATACAAACTTCTAATTACGACAAGATTTCCAAATTACTCAAATAAAACTAAGACGCTAAACTAATTACAGCAAATTTAAATCGATTTATTGCATTTTTAATCAAATCCGGTTATCACCTATTAAAACTTCATCAATCACCGCCATTTGTTATTGTCAGTGTAATCAATCACCGCAGTTAACCTCATAGTTAAGGATAACGATAATTACCAGTTAATGACAGTCACGATCAAATAATTTATAACGGAAACTGCGCCACATGTTCTCCACCCTAGTACAAGTTTTATTTTTTATTAGCTCCTCGTGAGTAACCAAAAATTTTCTTTGAAATAACTTCAACGATATGAGAATAGTAAACAAAAAATTATGTGGACAAGTAATTTCCTCGATTCGTTAACACCGAATTAAAAAATAACCATTTGGATGGGTTATAAAAACCGTTTTACTGTCCAATAAACAGGATTGTATATTTAACAGTTACTGAATTGGAATGCTAACAACAGATGATAATTCGGAATGAACCTGAAGATAAATTAATTTACCTAGTGTTATGCATTGATAGAGTCGGCAAAATGGCCACAAAGCGCTGTCTTTTATTAAAATATTGATTAAGTTTTGTGCAATGTTCGCCAGCATTGTTGTGTCATTTCTGGCAATTCATTTAATTAATATGAATAATTACAGCAAATTTAATTTGTATGTGGTACAACGGAATTACGTTCAACAATAAATTCGCTGCAATTATTCACTCGGCATGAAAAAGATTCGCTGCCAGTGAAAGAAGACATCTGAATCATTACTACTCATTTAAAAAAATATTCTCCTTTAACAAATTTTTAGTTTCGAAATTGAACTCTTGCTTTATGGACTGGATAAGATAACAAGTCTCACAATACACAATTTAAAGCTCTCGAGGGGTTAGAATAGTTTCAAACATTTTTTAATGCGAGCTATTGAAACTTTTCATGGAAATGTATGCAAATTAAAATGGACCTAAAACAAATTCGTTTCGTCAAACTCGCAACTCACAAATACAATTTTTTGTTCGTCATATTTGCATAATTCGGCGAGCATTCGTTTCGAAATTTTGCTTTTCGCGGCTAATTTTGAAAATATGAGTGAAATGTTTTTTTCAACAGCACTCGAAAACTGGTCTACATTTCCACTCATTTTATAATTCGACGAGAGAATACTCGACGCATTTATTACATTTCTGGAAATTAAATGAATCATTAAATACGAAAATATATTTCATTTAATATTGTTTTATGGTGCGTCTGTGCTATAATAGCTTTAACAGCCCGTTTCTATACCTTATACAAAGTTTTATTTTATTTACACAATTTAATAAAAGTTAAAATAACTCGTTTCACAAGAGCAATGAAAATATTTAACATTTGTTATATCCTTCTTTGATTTTTATTAGTTTCTGTCATCTCTGCATAGTCAGAAATATATATTAAAAAAGTTTGACTGCTTCAAAAACAATCAGGAATTGTATAGCTATATTCAATTTTTTTTTGATGTTAGAAAGCCTTCAATTTTCGAAAAAAAATCCCTATATTATAAAAGTAAAAGTGTCTTAAAATAAATCTGAATCAAGTCGCAGATGTTTGCAACTATAAAAGAGTACATTTGTTCTTATTCTGTGTATTTTTATTAAGTTTTCTCGCAAAGATATGTGTATAAAATAAAGGTTTCTTGTTACAGCTTGGTATATTACTTGCCATCAGACTGGCTCTTTTACAAGGATCCTTACCCAAGTTTTCGCAACAGGATAATCCCACAGCTTTCCATCCGTCTCTCTATGTAAGGTAAGGTAATAGAAAATTATTTCCTTTTCAGTGTTCTATTTTCCATATTTTTCTGTGTATTGATCAAACACGAAAAACATTTCATTTCAATTTTTCCAGTTCCTAATTTAACCTAAATTAAATATTTAACCAGTTAAATGAAAATCGACTGTTCGTTAGATTAAAACCAAACTAAATCAGAAATAAATTTCCACAGAATATATTATCGCAAACACACGTAGATATTGAATTAGTCCCTGGTGGCAATTACAGTGCTATGGTTTATAAGTCGAACTTTTGCAATTACGGAATTCCAAAAGTTCGAAACGAAAATAATACGAAATACAGACTTTATGAAAAGTTTGTCAACGATAAAGTTTCGTTTCGGCCAGTTGTCGATAGTCGCAAAGTCGTAACATCACGGAAATTCAATGCGGGGTGCTGCTGATAACAGGGGTTGAATTTATGCTCAAAAGGGTGTTCACCTAACACAGTTGATTTATCGCAATTCTAAAAATGTAAAATAGAAAATGATTAAAAAATGTTTACTTTGTGAAGAGAATAATTGAGTTTGGGATGAAATATTTGGCCGCGCTTTGTATGAGAATATATTTGTTTTGGGGCAGTATATCGCGTTTGTAAATTGTTTTCCTGTGCGAAATATTTATATTTTTGTTTTATTGGTGTCTCTCGAGTCGCATTTTGTTATTCGAGGTTATCAGTGAAGTGAACGTTTTTGTTATTGTAAGGATTTCAGCACACGGTACGATACGCTAAAGTAGAGACAAATATTATTACAGAAAGTTCTTCGACAATGTGCGGAAACTAAATAAATATTTTAATAGAGAATTGTTGTTTATCTTGATATGGTGTTTAATTAAATCATAACATTTACAATCTTTGTAATGCGCGTTCTGTTTATTTTTCCTGCTTTGTCCATAAATTGTTTTCGTATTTTTAAGGTTGTGGATTTATGTATTTCTGCAACGTCTCGGAAAAACTCGTTCGCAAAAAGCAAATAAAATCTAAATAATGAAATTTTGATTTAACAATACTAGTAAATTTCAGCAGTTATATAAAAAGCAAAAAGTAGTTAAACAAGAAATATAGCTTTCTTCACCCGAACTACACCCAAGGGAATGAAATCTTACGTCAGGTTCCAGGACTTCGAAGCTGCTAACTCACAATCCGATTACGTATGAGGTTAATGGTTTTAACGAGACATAATAGCGCTGTATTAATGCGGCAACATATAACATATTATAGTTTGATACTAAAGCTTGAAGACATAACTAATAACACCGCAAGATGATTACTTTGTACAGCAAAGTTGCCGAGGCGGATGAAATAAATTGTTTCATCAAAGGATACCTATTTTACACTTGCCTAGTATTTAACCAAATATTTTGAAATGCAAAACCAAAGTATGCTTGACCCCACATCGACTCAAAGAAAGGTTTAAACGACTTTCAACCAAATCTAATAAACTTCACCCTTTCAAATTTCCCTAAACGAATTACTACGGCCAATTTTACGACTTTTCTTTGCTAATGTTCCTAACATGTAATTGTTGGCTCAGAACATGACGAATTACATCAAAAACTCATTTAAATGTACAACGACCTTGTCAGCATTCGTATATTTTATCAAAACTGGATTTAAATATATCGACCAATAATTTCTATTACAAATAATAAATACTGACTGAAACAGGAAGTTATTAATGACACCGCTTTTTTAAATGAGTTGTAACTCATTTTTGTTTCAAAACCCAAAATTTGAATAGATAACAAAAGATATTTTAAATTTTTTGTCAAAAATTTTGTGAACTTTAGAGATAAATCCACGACATATTTCAGCTTTTACGTTATGAGGGCTGAAATTAAATTTAAAACTTTTCCTGCACATTAAATCACGTCTTGCAATTTAAAATTATTTAAAAGATTTTGCCTCGTAATCACCTACTCCGTAAAACTTTAATCGCTTGTAAAAGTGTGTGAAATCCACAAAAAAATTTTCAACCGCCGTTAAAAGTGTCCAAACACCTGAAACCTTTCAACCCTGTCGAAAGTGATACGCGCTTTAGGCCCGAAATTCTAAAAACCATTAGAATACATTAAAATCACTCAAAGCTTCCGATTCCTTTTAACTGCAATTATATCATTGCGAGCTTTCACTCATGTTAGATAACTGCTAGAGCTCAAATATTTGAGTTGCTTTTTCTCGTATAATAATAACCTCTGCAGGATTACGCGGGATAATTCCCTGCAAAAGCGGTTTTAGCATGCCAAAGGCATGGCAAAGATCTAGGGAGTAAACACATACCAGTATGTTTGCAAAGTTCCGACCTACACAATTCATAGTGCTGAATCTCTTCACAGGGTGTTAACTTTCTGCTACTTGGCTGCGTTCAACTGGTGGCTCCTGCTGTGTCCTGCAACGCTGTCGCATGATTGGCAAATGGGGTCGATACCCTTGGTAACGTCACTCTCAGATTCCAGGAATCTGATGACGTGCTTCTTCTTCGGAATGGCGGCACTGCTTTTGATAAGAAGTCTATGCGACTTTGAGGTAAGTTAAACCCACATTGCAAGTTCTGTGTGGGCTTTAACCCTTTGTTCCTGTTGTTAAACAGAATTCGATTGTTTCTGTGTACATATACTAGTAAGTTGGAGCCGAATTAACCTTCCTGAAATTTTCTAGAAGCATGCAAACATAATGCACCTGAAATGTTGGCTTAGTCATTTGCCATTAGCAGGCAATTTCGAACGTTTTAAATTCGGAGATCTGACGCCGACATATCTTTTAACCGGATTTACTGTCACAGACACTTATCGCTTCCAACACGAGCAAACAATTTAATTCTCAGCGAACTTAAATAGACAGAATACAGTCAATACTTCCCTCTGGTTGACACAATAAAAAACCGCAGAAATATAACTGACGTCACTTTGAAAGCCAAGAATTTCTTAAAGCTCGCAGCGTTGCCCTCGAAAATGTTGTGTAGTAAAGTATTGACCGCGTATCTCATATCAGTTTAATGTAACGGAAATATTTACATTTACATAACGTATGCTAGTATTAAGTATACAGCGCTACATTCCAGGAAATAAAAATAATGCTATAAAATGTTAAAAGCATTTTTCCTTATACTTATATCTCTTCTCAACTCGCTTCTTCTGAAAAACGCAAATAATATCATAATGTTGCCCTAATATTTGCTTTCCAAGATTCGTTACATTGGCATTAACATGAAATACATTTATCTAATTTTTTGACTCGTTTCAGAATATGATAAATTTAAGCACACAAAGAAATAGCAAATTTAATTCTACTGATGCTCCTAAGTAAATTATTTTTTACAGAATCAGAAGCATACCCCAGTAGTACTTGGCCTCATGTTGCTCATTTTTCCGTTCTTGCCAGCAGCTAATCTGGTTGTTACTGTAGGATTTGTAGTGGCTGAGAGGGTCTTGTATATTCCTAGGTAAGTATATAACAAACTTGCGTTTCTTTTTCTTCAATTTCGCCTTCAATTTCAGTTTAGGTTGTACCCTCCTTGTAGTATATGGAATCCAAATCTTGTGGACCTCTTATTCTAAACATCGCCAGACAATAATTTGTTGCGTGATGCTTTTATTGACCACAAATTGTTTACGCACTGTTGTGCGTAATCGCGACTGGCGGTCCCGCGAATCCCTTCTGAGGTAACTTTTCCAGTGTTTTTATTATAATCGGAAAAAAGTTAATCGAAAAATTCAAATCCCCTGAAATGTAAACTTTTTCCAGGGCCGGGTTAATGACATTACCGCACAACGCCAAGATGCATTACAACTACGCGAATTTTCTGAGAGATTCGGCGAGACCTGAATTAGCTAAGTCCCATTACCACAGAGCTTTGAAGTGAGTTGTTTGCTAATGCTTTATTTGAAGTAGATTAATGCAAGTTGCGATCGATTTCAGGTTATGGCCCACTTATGCAAGTGCCCACAATAATTTGGGCACTTTGTTGAGCAACGAACAAGAAGCTGAACAGCATTTCTTAGCAGCTATTCGGTACTCGGCCGACCATGTCAATGCACACTACAACCTGGGTCAGCTCTATCGGTAATTCGTCTCTAATTGATACAAAATAATTCATTTGACCAGATTTGGCTCTGGCATGTAACTAAATAGGACAACGGTATCGGTTGCGGCAAACATGCCAACGAAACGGCTTTAACAAACACAAACATGTTATTTATTCACATAATGGGACACCGCAGAATTAAATATATCTTTTCAGGAAACTGAATCGGACAGCGGAATCCGAACACATGCTAAAAAGGTGCATCAATCTTGAACCCAGGTTCACACCGGCCTACATCGAATTAGCAAGACTCCGAGGACCAAACGACAGAAGTGTCAACAATCTACTCAAAAAAGTCGCTTTGCTAAACCCACGTGACCCCTATTATAGCACCATTTACGGCCACTGGCTTTTAGGCAAAAGTAATTAAACTTCACGCAACTGCTTCATAATGCTGAATTGAAAACATTCTAGGCGATAATCTCAAGGCCCTTCACTTCTACTGGAAGGCCCTCTCCGTGTGTACCTCCTACCAGGAAGCGATGCTTGGTGCTTCAAAAATTCTACGTAAATTCGGTCAAAGTTCACGTATCTTTCAATTGATCACAAGGTCAGAAAAATCAATACTTAAATTTCTTTTCTGATGTCTTTTTTATAGATGGCAGTCAATTTTACGAATACGAAGAGGCGAACCACCTATAAGCCCACACGTCTATTTACACGGATGGCAACTTAAAAGTGAATTGAGTCATAAAGCTAGAGCCTACGACAATTGTAGCACGTTGTTACTTGTAAGTAGTCTCCAGACTAATACATTCGTAACTTTTTCTCACCGTAAAGTCGCCAAATGGAACATGAGCACAGCCATAAAAGCGTCTCAAATTGTTCTTCTTGATTATTGACTCAAAAAGACACCATTTTATTTAAATAAATTTCAAATACATACTCGTAGGTACTCGTAGTTGCTTGGACTTGAATATTTTATCAAACTTTCAACAAAGACACTCTTTGTTTTCCAACTTGATAAAACTGTTCCCTATTGTGACCAGTCCAACCTTTGAACAAACTTCTAGGACTTCAGCTAACAATAACGTTAAATAACCCAAGACTGCACTATTGTAACAGAAAGTTATTTTTCTAGGGTAGTCGTTGCGTACAAAGTTCAAGCAAAATAAAGAAAATCGCTCCAAGTGAAGAAATCGGAAATAAATGGACGAGGCAGACAAGCAACAAGACAAAGTATCACACAATGAAGCAGTGCAAAGTGCAACAAAAATTACATAAACAGAAACCTTCGACGCCGCTGATGGTTCAGCATTTCTTGGATTAAAGAAATAAAGTGCTTTTTCAGAATGTTGTTTTTATGTAATTGTGTTTTTGTGATTTTTTGCTTAACTATAACAATGATAGACATTAAATAGTACAAAAATTTCACACTTTCGATAAACGACAAATTTAAAAGAACTACTTTGGAAATATAGTAATTATATGACTGGTTTCTAAACGAATTAGTATGTATTTTTACCTAGTATATAATAAATATAATTTTTTATTCCCAAAATTGTCAAACTAACCTATTCGTGATACGTAATAAAAGAATTTTGCAGCTATGTTATTTTAAATTTACTGTTGTTACGTATTTATTTACTGCTTATCCTGATATGTTCATAATTTTGTAATATGTGAAGGGTATTAAAATTACATTCTAATCTTAATATTAGTGAGATTAACCGAGAGAGGAATTGATATTAATATACTTAAATCACAAAAATTGAACCATTTATTGTTATAAACTAGGTAGGGACAACCATGTGGGAATAATTTGAATGACTGCTTGATTTTGTAGCTTAGTTTCTCACTCCTTTAGCAGTATTACAGAAACATTTCTTGAATGACTGAATTTGATAAAAACAAAGATATTTTTAATAAAATAATTTTGTAAAATTCTTAAAAATGGTATGAACGAACCAAAACCGGTTTACAGTGTATATATTGCACGAAATGTAAATAAAATTAAACAGTATTACAAAAAAGTCTAGATTTAAGTAGCTTAGTAAATTCACTTTAAAGCATTTTATAAAACATTGTTGAAGATTAAGGTTCCATATACACATTTTTTTATAATAATAAAATGAATGTGATCGAGTAAAAACGTTGTTCTCTCCGTATATATAGCTTGATAACTGTGAAATTTTTTCCGCTAGTAAAATAATTATGGCTAAAATTATGTTTGAGATATTTGTTTTTAGATGGGGCCATTTCATGAACTCTGTATACTAAATATTCATTAGGCGAAACTATTTCTCAAAGTGAAATTAAGGCAAACATACATATTTATAAGGTTGTTGTGTCTACAAATTGTAAAATACTTGTATAGGTTTTTGATAATCAATAAAATTATTTATTAACAAAATCGGCTTTCTTTCTATCACTCAACAACTCAGTTCCATAAATAATAAATTAAAACACACAACATATTCAAACAAAAATTTTAAATATTGATTTTACTTAGTCGGTAAAGCAGAACGCGTGTAAATAAAGAGTATTGTTGGTGGTCTATATCAAACCGTACTTTCATTTCATGTAGGGGAGGCCATCCCAAAGAAACGTTTCGTTCGATTAGTTTTCTGTAAACTTTCTTCACCATTTTGCCTTAATTTCGTGTTTAAATTCCAGAAATATTATTTCAACTTTAGGAACAAATGTTTTAAAGTATATATAGGGTATTTCACGACTAGTATAATAATAAGGTATGTATATCAAGAACAATAATAGAGGTACCTTAAACCAATAAAAATAATTTACGTTAATTAAAATAAAAAAAAAAACAGACCAATCTAAAATTTTTCGAAGGCGTCTTTCAAAACCAAAAGAGATTAAAATAAGTTACCTATAATTTGTTCTAAAATCAATATTCTAGTGTTTTCAAAGTGATTGGCTGGTTCAGCAATTTTGCTTTGAGATACTTTGAGATGCTTGTTATAATAACTTTTTTATAAAATGCTGAAATCGAACAGTTAATTCAGTCTTTTAGAGAAATTTGCATATGCTTTCCTTTTGATTTTCTTCAAAAGATACGTTACAAACAACTCAAAATGAAAAATATTACTTGAATAAGTAAAATTTTCAGCAATTTATTTTAAAATTTGCGTAGCTCGTATTTCTAATTACCCTTTGCTGTCCACACCAGCAAAGGATTTATTTGTGGTTTGTTTTAATATACGGCTGACTTGCTTATCATCAGCAGAAGCTAAATAGGTTATTTTTGTTATAAATGGACCCTCGAAATTGGATTGTACGGTTTTGGCCCCAATTACTCTTATTAATCAATTAAGCCACACACACACTGCCATATCCAAATATATCACAACAAATTTTTTACTCGCCGTTTTAATTACGAAATTCGCAAGAAGTTGAAAATTAAAACCGCGTTTTAATCGTTTTAACCAGAAAATTAAGTCGTTTTTTGGTGAAGTAATTAATCTTAAAACCGAGAATCCATCCATCCTCTCCTTTACTTCCGACTGGAAGCACAGTGACGCCATCATGACTATATAAAAGCAACATTTAACCGTTAGATCTTTAGTTGTGCAATGTTTCCGTTGAAAGTTGTCAATATTTTAACACTGCTGACTCGCCTAGCGGCGGCAGGCCACATTAGTTTCGCTCCGTTTTACAACACCGGAATCGGCTTCCATCGAGATGATTTCAATTTCGGTTTTCCTGTCTCGGAATATTTAGTCGCATCCGCATCGAATTGGGGAGGTGGTGGAAGTGGCAAAAAAGAAGGTGGAGGCAAGGAATACCACGCTAAAAAATATTCCGATTATGGACACAAAGGCGATAAAGGATACAAATCTGATCATCACCACGATGAGGAAGAACACGAAAAACATGGAAAGAAATTCAAATCAGGAAAATACGGCGAAAAAGGGGGTCATCATGACAAACACCATGACGAAGCTGGACATTACAAGAAGTTCCATGAAGGGAAAAAGTCGCACAAAGCGGCCAAATTCGGAGAGAAAAAAGGGCACAAAAAGGGCCACAAGACAAAGGGTTACCATAACAAGTTCCACCGGGATGAGTACCATAAAGAACACAAGTTTTACGATGATTATCACAAGAGTGGGTACCACGACAAGTACGGGGACCATCATGAGCACTACTCGAAGAAGGATGGAGCCCACAAGAAGGGTGGATCTGCTCATTCGGACCACCACAAAGACGAATTCGGAAAGAAAGGCTTCAGTGACAAAGGCCACGTCATTGATGAACACAAAGGCTTCAAAGGGAAGAAGGGCCACAAATCCCATCACAAACATTACAACGATTACGCAAAGAAAAAGGCTTCAGAATCAGGCAAACACTTCGGATACTCCCAGAAACACTAGTTTTTGCTCTTCACAAAGCTGTTGCAATTTTATGCATCGCTACCTTCCACCAATTCGGCTTAAATCAGTGAAAGCGAGCTTGCGGTTTCGACTCAACATGCAAACATAGTTGAATTTTTTACGGACATGCCATATTTTGTTATACCTACTCCGGCTAGTTTCACCACAATTGTGAATAATTCGATTTCGTGCCGTGAAACTGGTCCTTTTCCACTGTTTTTACTTTGTTTAAATAAAAACATAGCATTTGAAAAAAGTCTATTTTTTTAATAGTAAAGCGTTTTTTTGTGGCTCATCATCGACGTAGATTTTGACGGACTTGTGAGGATCAGGAGGTCTAAAAATAGGTCTTTGATCGGCACCCACATACGTGCAATAGGGGATTTCTTCGACCAGTTTCAATTTCATTTTCTCACACAATTTCGCTCTGCAAAAAATAAATTAACTTGGGCAAACATTTACGCAATGTTATTAGAAAAAAACAAACAAGCAGAAGAACAAAAAAATGACACGAATTTCGGTTTTGTTGAAGGAAATATGGGTTAAAAAGTCAATCACGACGCGCTTCACTCAAGTAGAGAATGAATTTTTCAGCACGAGTGTGAATGGGTTTTTTTTTCATGGCGAAACGGGTTGCAACAAACGCTAGTTTTATTTGAGAGTTAATTTAACTTTCAAGCAATCATCAGAATTATTAAAGCCACGAAATAAAACAAAACGTAAATTTTATATTTACTAAAATTTATAAACTGGAGATTGCCTTTTAGTGTCGTCTCTAATGGATTAAAAAAGTTATATGAAAACGATTTCAGAGCTCCACCAAAAGCTAAGTAAAATGTAGCATCCATTAAATTTTTAAATTCAGGTCACATAAAAGAAATTCCTTAAAAAGGTATTTAAATTTAGAGGATTTCAGCAACAACAAAGATTACCAAAATGAGATTTTTAATAAAAAAAATTAATTTTACATTTATTGGTATCAAAAAATTCTTGCAATTAATAAGACTTATTTATGATAAAATTCAGACATCTGAAAACTCACTTTAGTTCGTTTAAAGTTAAATTATTACTGTTTCTCCTCGTTTCGATTTTACTCTATCCTAACACAAATATCTATTTATGTCAGCTTTCCACCGCTCTAACTTTCAAAGAGATAACTTTATTTTTGTTATTTGAACAAGAAACTCAATGGAGTTTAATTACACCTAAATTATTATAACATTCCCTAGACAAAATATAAACTTCAACAATTTTAGCTAAAATAAAAATAAGATGATCATATTTAATCATTATGGTTGCTGGTATCTTGTAACAATGTTCAAAAGTTTAGCCCGAGTTTTATCAATTTAGATAATTATTTAAGGTATTAACTACCGTAGTGTGTAGTTAAAGTTTAAATTAATCTCCTGTTTCTATGCTCGTTATCAATAAATATCCAATCATAACAAAACATCTCAAGTTTAATTATTATTAAAGTGCAAAACTATTTCTTACGTATAATAACTAGTCGCATCTATTCTGACTAGAGGAAATCCACAATCGGCTGCAAGAAGTCTTGACTTTAGTGTCAAATCATACGCAATGCCTTTGCCTCGTTGGTCTTTTCTCACAAACATGTAACAAAGCTGCAACACTTTCCCCAACAAACACTTTTTATAAATGTCCCCAATTACCTCAAATATTTTTTGAACTCCGTACTTCCTCCACAAATCCGGGACTCGTTGCATGTAGGCATAAAAATGTAACAATTGTCGACTTTTAACATCGCTGACTTTACAAGCAAGACTATCTTTAATATCGGGATCCCAACAGTGACTGGTTTCGTTAATACACGCCCCCAAAATATCTCCATTGTATTTACATTTGGCAATCAAAGAGTAACCTTCACTGAGAGACTGAATGGTTATATCGTCGAAAACAACTGTGGGTTTGAATGCTAGGGAACAACATGTGGGTTCTTCAGGATAATAAGCACGACGCATGAGACATAAGATTTGTTCATAATCGTCAACAGTTGGTCTAACGATTAAATAATTTTTGGTTTGCTATAATTGGAGATTGAGCTTGTAAAAGAACGAAAAGAAACTCACTTTTTTGTGGCAGGCAGTTTTAATGTTTCTTTTGATGAAGTTACCGAGATTTTGAATGGGAAATTTTCGAAAAAGTGATGCCATGACTGGAATTTTGAATGACATTAACCGGATTATTTTGCCATTTTTCGTTACTACAGTTTTGCGTAATAAAATTAATTGTTGATTAATTTTGGTTTGTCTTCTTTCAGGTCAATGAATCCAATCGACAATCGACTCGTCATCAGCCGACTTACATCATTGAAGAATTGTATAACCTAAACCGCAGTGAAAAAATCTCTCCCTTCCAAATCTCCTCAGACGAAAAAAAATGCACAGTTATAAGTAGAGCGAATTTACAAGTCTGTGAACATAGCTAAAGCAAACACCGATATTTCTGTTATAACAAATAGGTGCATTAAAAAGCACTTGGTGTTAAAACATACATATTTCATTTTTTCTGCATTATCTTCCCTAAAGGGTGGTTTTTGTTGACCGTCAATAAATTCGGCTTAGGGCGTGCTTTATTTAGGTTCGAAACATGTGTAAAAGTGTGGCGCTTTTTTTCCTGCTGCTTCCTGCTGTTTTCACTCTTCCAACACAAGACGATTTAATGCAGGAACTGGGAGACGACACCGCCGTAGTGGAGTCCACAGTGCGAGAAGCCAGAGCCATTGTTCCTGAACACATCGAGGATCTCTTACAACCAGGTAAGAAGGCTTTTCACTCAAGCAGCAAATTGCCGCATCAATCTGAATTTGTGTCACTTTCGATAACGCATTGCTAAACTTTCAGGAAAGCTGATTTTAATCACACTTTCTTGCAGGAGTTAAAGAAGCTTTCTTGCACACTTACGGTGACAAAGAAGACGCCGATGGGGACGTTCAGGGGTACCGCAAGAAAACGCAAGATAAAGGCAGCGATGGATATAACCATTTCGACAGTTACCACAAGAAAGATGGAGACAAATACGGATATGAAATCCACTCAGAGTATGGGAAATCGGACAAAGCTAGTGCTGGAAATACCGGAAAATCTGGGAAGCACTCCGATGGTAAGTTAGTAGTCTTTTAAATTTAATACTTTTACCTGAACTGTTCATTAAAAAAATGGTTTGAAATGTTACAGTTTAATGAAATTTAAATGTGGAAGTGATATGAAACAATGATAATTAAATTACAAAATTTAATATCCCATCATGTACTTTACTTGTGCTACATTCAACATTGTTTGTAGTGCAATGTGTGGTTAACTAATGGAATGCAATTTATATAAAGTTATTTAATTTATAATCGGATTGGATTTATATTTTATGTCGCGTTTCAGGTGATGGTGGATCTGAAACCAAAAAAGCGTACAAAGTAGTTGAAAATGTCAATGAGTAAGTAAAAATTTATTCTCAGAATCACGCACATGTAGAATGAATAATTTCACTCGACTTTTCCAAAGGGATCTATTCAAAATTTAAATGTGCATTAAAATTAAGAAAGGAGAAAAGGAAACTGTCCTTTTGTTTCATCTATCGATCAGTCCGTTCATTTAAACGAAAAGTTTTCTTCAGTCTCAACTGCGCATCTATTTTTATTGTAGTATCCTTCCATTGGGAAAACGTTCTGTTTAGGACATTTTATTATACTTTGAAATGATGGTTTGAAAGAATTTCAGTCAGTGGTCTTTCGCAGTTGCCCTCATGAGATAACATTCGATTCAGCTCGGATGCTGAATAAATAAATGAATTTTATTGTTCACTTCTCCGTTTATGTTTCACTTTAGCAAAAAAAGTAAATCCGAGATTTAGAAAATGAGCTACTTCAAGTGTCAACTATTTTATCAATCACGCAGTTTTAATAGCAGATATTTATCAGAACGCAGTCAAAAATTTGCACTTTGTCACTTTTGTTACTTGTTTAGCAACACAAAGCGATCAATTTTGTCACATTTCAGAATTTTTAATTAAAAATTTTGCTCGATGAAGCGGAATTTGACTAAATAAAGCACTATCTAGTTAAAGCGACTGTAATTATTTTTTTGGCCTCCTGACATGTAAATGTTAAATTAACGTACAATTGACACCTATTGAAAGACTGCATTTACAGTCGCCTGGGTATTTTACGCACGGACGAGTGTAAAGTGACAGTTTTACCGCACGGCCAAAATTATCTTCATAGACATTTATAAAAAAAACTGTTTGTAAGATGATAACTTTTTTAATACACACAACCTTTCAATCTTAGAACTCTTTTTTTCTTCACACCACTTTATAATTATAAACACATTGTACTGGGCTTCATACCTTGGTCGCGATTTTTCGGGCAATAGCTCGGTTGTAACATTTTCTGCAGCACTTCTGATTTCTGGTGGGGTACACATGGGGCTATTATCGCTTGACATTTTGAAGCATAAATTCACCAACAAGACAACGATAACAAAACTTTGTGTCTGAGACGTTTTTGCGTCTTTTTTAATTGTTTGACATTAGAGTGCATAGCTTCCGTGATATTTAATGTCAAACGTATTTACTTGTATTAATTCTGAACTTTGTGGATTTTTGTTTAAACGTCGGCCAAAAAGCTTAATACAAATCTTGTGCGTTAACCATTTTACAGTGCTCAATTATTAAAGCACTCCGCTACGCGTCGTGCTTCAAATTCATTTCGCACTGTAAAATGTAAGTTACCGCACACGAATGTAAATAACTATTACAATTAAGTGCAGTTTAGATCGTAAAAAACGCATTTTAAAGGGGTAAAAAGGGCGTAAGCGCTGTTGAAGATTATGACGGCGATTCCGGCTATTACGCCGATTCCGGTGACTCGGAAGGCTACACGGATGGAGAATCTGAAAATTACAGCGAAGGAGAAGGAGAATCCGGAGGATACGTCGAGGGAGGAGACTCCGAATCGGAATATTACGGAGGTAAAAATTCACTGATTTATTAGCCATTCAGGCAATTATGTAACATTACTGCACTACTAATGTAAATGCATGTACTAAATTAATAGGATATGATGAAGGAGATGGTGATTCAGGTCATTACACAGAGGATGGCGACGATGGAGCGGAATATAGTGAAGCAGAAACCGAGGACGACGATGATTATTGATTCTCGTTTGATACACTTTGTTACCTGTTTTTATTGTTAAAAAATAAACAAAATTGTTGCCTGTTTTAATTAATGTTTTATTGGCTAGGTTTTTCAAGATAAGAAGCTTTTATCAATTAAATGACAAGCTGTACGTCCCAAATAAGCGAATCACATTCACTTATCAATCATTTACAACGCGCAGAATAACCAATGAAATTCAATAGTCTGATAAAGACAATAACATTATTTTACGTAACTAGACAAAGTGGATTAAATCGGTCAATACCATTCTCTAAAACACTCTACATTCTGAAGTATCTGTCTATTTTTTATTTAACTTAAAACCAAAAATCTATTCATTCTACATATTAACTAAATGTTATCACACTGATAAATAAATAGTTTATATTTATTTAGCAACATTGTTGCTTGTAAATTCTACTTTTATCTGTTATCAATACTCCATGCAAATTTAATAATAAATTTAACCAGACAAATACAAATGAAATATAATGCAACCTCAATGACACATAAAATTAAAACTTTTCATAAAATTATTTTACAAATAATACAATTTGCAGAAAAACAAAGCTTTTATATAATAACAAATTTATTTTGATTTTTATACCAGTAAGTGTAATATTTTCATGATGGGTATATTTATAGATAGGAAACATTTCTTGCAGTTATTTCTTATTCATAGTCAAAACTGGTTGCTTCGCACCAGAAGTGAACCAGTCCCATATTGTTGCAAGTTTCAAAATAAAAAAAATAACAAAAATCTTTTTCTTCCATGTGTCTGTAATGCAGCTCCATTAGTACGAAGTAAAATTGAGTAGAAGTCCAAAGCGTGACGTAGTAAATGGGTAAAAATGCATTTCTGCTGTTTTCGAATCTGTTTCAAATTATAATTTTTGTAAAATAAGTTAATTATGATTGTCAGAGGTTTTATTTGAATCGATCGGTTTGATTGTGCTAATTCATGAATGTCTTTCCAGTTAATTCTGTCCGGAAAGTTTCAACCAACAGGTTGTTCTCTTCCATTTCCGTTACGATTGTCTTGCAGCGTAATTTAAGTTTGGTTCTAGAATAGTTATTAATGATCCAAGAAGGAAACATGTAGTGTTTTAAGCAAGTTATTTATTTGCTGACGTCTTAAAATCTTTCTCTTACGAGTAGTTGTATAACTCTAATTACCTTCAGTCGGAGTTTGATGGTTTAAGCAAGAACAATAATAAACTTGAACTTAATATCAGCAAATATAAAGTTTTGCTTGAATTATAGAAAGCTTCATTTTGTCAAACTGAAATTCTCATTACGTGGAACTAATTTGTCTTTGAGGGAAGGAAAAATCGGTTCGGCTTTAAGTGGCAAAGTGAATAAACAAAAGTGGAAATACTGAAACATCTTATATGTTTTCTCGATGTTTCCCCAAAGACGCACTAAGAAAACCCTGAAAATAAACATGTGGGTTAGTATCATCAGAGACCGGATAGTGGGACTTTACTTCTTTCATTGACTTAAATCTGAAAAAAACACCAACTCAAATTAATAAGTTTCGACAATGTGTCTGTTATTTCACCTGTCGCAAGGATACAATCGTTTTTTTGACAAATAATGTGATAATCGTTGACTTTGTAAATAATCTCAGACACTTGACAAACTTATCACGAACGTGCCTAAAACCGCATAAAATCAATCCGATAAGTCAAAAATATCGATATCGATCAGATGATCACGCTTTCTATAAAACTACAAAAGTATTATTAAAAATAGTTAGTTTGAGAAAATCCAGTGCGTCCCATTTTCACATAAAATGGCCGAAGAAACCGATAAAAAACAACCATTGAGCTATTATTACGAAACCTTCGAATTGGACACGTACTTTACTCAAAACAAAATAAAAATACCTCAAGTGAAAAAGGTTGATTTTAATCAAGTGTTGGGAAAATTTATACCCTCAATAAAACTTTTAGGATGGATTTTCTTTTCGCAAATTGTGGGCATTTACAGGGCCTGGATTTCTAATGTCTATTGCTTACTTAGATCCGGGAAATATCGAGAGTGATCTTCAGTCCGGTGCTATTGGACGGTATAGATTACTTTGGGTTTTATTTGCTGCCACTATTTTAGGATATTTATTACAAAGTCTTGCCTCTAAATTAGGTAAGTCACACAATTTAAAACCAGTCAAAAAATTGTTTTTCAAGGAGTCGTGACTGGGTTACACTTGGCCGAAATGTGTTATAGGCAGTACCGAAAATTCCCACGATTAGTTCTGTGGATTATGGTCGAAATAGCAGTAATTGGGTCAGATATGCAAGAAGTTATCGGAACTTCAATTGCTATTTATTTACTCTCAAATAAATTGTATGTTTTTTGTATCAATTCAAGAATTGGTTCTGTTATTTATTATTTTTAGGATACCTTTGTGGGCTGGTTGCCTTATAACTATAGCCGACACTTTTACCTTTCTCTTCTTGGATCGCTACGGTTTGAGAAAGTTGGAATTGTTTTTTGGAATTTTAATCACAATAATGGGTCTTACATTTGGGTACGAGTACGTAGTCTCTGTTCCCCCACAGGACGCTATAATGAAAGGGTTATTCTTCCCTTGGTGTGAAGGTTGCGACGCTAATGTCCTGCTTCAAGCCGTCGGAGTGATCGGTGCTGTTCTAATGCCTCACAATCTTTACCTCCACTCCGCTTTAGTAAAATCCCGCGAAGTGGACCGGAGCCGTCCGGAAAAAATCAAAGAAGCGCGGATGTACTACATGCTCGAAAACGCCATCGCCCTTGTTTGCAGTTTCATTATAAACATATTTGTCGTGACCGTTTTCGCTTACGGATTGTTCGAAAAAACCAACAATGAGATTGTAACTCATTCTCGTGGAACGATCTAATTTCTCACTGTGTGTTTTTAGTTGAACAGTTGTCCCAAAAATGAATCTCTTGTTTACGACCGAGCCGTTGAAGTGTTTCCGGTGAGTACAGGCCGATAAAAAATCAATTAGAATTCAATCCTCCTGCATAATGTGGAAAATTGATTGTTTTGGTTCGTTGACTCTTTTCACTAATAATCCGAAACGAATAAATTTGATTAAACTTTCACTTTGGGGATTTTTGCAGAGGGATGACGACTACGTGGAGGCAGACATTTATAAAGGGGGAGTTTATTTAGGATGTGCTTACGGCCCAGCTGCTATGTACATATGGGCTATTGGGATTTTGGCCGCAGGACAGAGCTCGACGATGACAGGAACATACTCAGGACAGTTTGCTATGGAAGGGTTTTTAGACCTGCAATGGGCTCGCTGGAAACGAGTTTTGTTCACGAGGAGTATCGCAATGATCCCCACTTTCTTTGTCGCTTTTTTCAGCTCTCTAAACGAACTCACTACAATGAACGACTTTCTTAATGCCGTCATGAGTCTCCAGTTGCCTTTCGCCATTATCCCTATGGTCGCTTTTACCAGCAATCCGAAAATTATGGGCGAATTCGTAAACGGCCTGTATGTCACTCTGTACAAATCAGCCAACCACTAACTTATTCTTTCAGGGGAATGAGGATTATGTTCACAATTCTCGGTGTTGTGATAATCGGAATAAATATTTTTTTCGTTACTGACACACTCATAGAACTCAACATTAACAGTTATTATTTTATTGCAATCGGGATAACTGCGGCTTTTTATTTTATTTTTGTCCTGTATCTTGCCCTGCATTGTTACATATCTTTTGGTGGCAAAAAAATCGAACAGAGGCATTGGGTTCAAAAATATGTGATGTATGCCGAAATGAATACTCCCAAACGAAAAGTGTGACCTTTGTAATAAAAATTTTTTTTGGTAAAAATAGTTTTATTTAGATTAGTAAATGCACATCACGTTATGATAAACAAGTCATTGTTTACCCAACCAACGGGACGATGAATAGAACTCCACCTAGGGATAAACATTTGCCTTATCTCGGCGTCTGTTTAAAATTCCACTCGCTTTTTTAGATAACATCCTGTGGGATATGTTTTGACGTGAAAGCTGATTTTGATTTTGTTTTATCATTATACTTTATTTAGCAAGTTTTTCTATTAACATTTATTGCATCCGACACTTCAAAAACTGCCCGAATTTTAAAATATTTACAAGTTTGTGATGGATTGGCACATTCGATATGAAATTCAACTTCTTGATAAATTATTAAAACAAAACCGGAATTTTTAAAAGGCCTATAATTATGTTACTTGGATAAATATTTATTGAAACCTTGACTGTAATAAAACTTCATAGACCTTACCTGAAAATGTATTTTATTACGTTACTTTATAACTCAATTTTCCGCTCGTATACGTATTTGATAAACGACAAGAGAAGTTAAAATTCGTCTCGATGTTTCTGCAGTCCCATAGGTCGCGTAATTCAAGAAGATACGCAGAGGTCTGCCGTAAAGCTGACGGTCATTCCTGCAATGCGTACAATCCAAATGTTACACGCATTGAAACGATTCTCAACAATGTATCGACAATTATAACAATTATTGTTCAATGAGATGTTAACTGTGTGTTTTGCAAGCAAATCACGACTAATTAATTTTAATTACATGTAACAGCAATTAGTTTAAATTTGGTGCAAACTTATAGACAAAGTTTTTCAGGAAAACTTGTTGTTTTCGACGTGTTGACATAAATTTTTATTGTTGTTCTAAAGCAATTAACTAAAGGCTTATAGTGTATTTCATCTCGTATCCCTTTTTAATTGAAGCAAGCCTTAACTTGAGTAACGATGAATTTATAACTTGGAACATTAAACGGACAAAGCTTTTTAAGTCAGAACTAACGACATACTGTAATAAACTATTATTTTGTTTCAAAAATAAATAAACAACTTTATTGTTACAATCTCATTTTTAAATTTAATTAGTTTAGTACAGCATTTAAGCTGCTTGATGTAGAAAAAAAACACACATTATTTCAACATTAAAATGTATATATTAATAATTTAAACCCAAGTTAACAATTTATTTGAAGCTGTTAGAAAGTTTTCCAACACTAAATATTATATGAAATTTTGTCTAATGAAAGAGTTGATCTCTAGTCAAATATTTGCTCTTTAGCCAAATTTGAATTTGGATCATTTTCAGTTGAAATAAGCGCAAACACTTGAAGAAAAAATTGGATAAAAATATACAATACAAACACTCAAAACGAGATTTTTTTGTGCATCTCGGTTTCCTCTCGAATCATCTCTTAAGTCGATCTCGTTGAATCCCTTTATTCTCAGATTCTCACAATTATCACGAAATCTAATTGCTTTTAATTTACGGTGCCAAATCGAATGTAATAATTTCCGAGGGATGAAAAATTTCGCATAAACGACTGTCTCGCTTTGTTTTATGAAAGCTGCTGACTGTAAATGTATTGAATTTAATTTCTTGGAGGAGAAACCAGGGACACTACAGAAAGCTTTCTGGCCTGATTGATGATAGCGCTGAGCAGGCAGACAGCAACTGGGATTAGAATTAGTATCATTAGTTTAGAAGTACAAAATCTGAGTTTTCTTTGTGCCTTGTTCGCAACTAGCCACTTGTTATGCAAAAAATGTGGCGCCAATTAAAAAGGCAAATCTTTTGCAGCCGGAGAAAAATACTATTAGTGGTTTACAAGCTAGTGGTTTTATGACGACTCTTGGTCTTTATTGAGTACTCACTTATTACGATTTACTGATCCCAAAGTGTATTCTAACCTTTAGAGGTTGTAATTATTGTTGAAACTCCGGTTATTCGAGAGATAACAGCTTTGCTAGAACCAATTAATTCGAGTCAAATATTTAGCTTTTTGACAACAGTTTTACTCTGATTTTATAAAGATTAAGGAGGAAATTGTGCAGTTAAGTATAATGCAGTGGTTTGCATGAAATAGCAAAAGGGTTTATGAAAATTACTGCGCAATGCGCTTAAAATAATCCTTAATCTGTCGCCACTATTTTACTCGTGTTTGCTGCTAAATAAGCGTCTTAAAAACTTATTGTTTTCAAATAAAAACTCATTTTAATAATACGCTCTAAATAGCAGTAAATCCTTGATTTTAAATTCTAATAACCGTTTAAACTGTTACTTCAGAGTTATAAAACCAAACAACTACTTTGAAGCGTTACTCAGCACTTGTATTTTTGTTGCTTTCTTTTATTTTTACATAACTAAACACCATCTACAACAAATCCCTTGTTTTTACGGAAATTTAATCCAATTTCCATGTGATACGGCGAAAAAAAAATGACGTGAAAATACTGAAAATTGAGCCAGCATGCGTATAAAACAAATTCATACGTCTATTGCCTACGGATGTAATATAACATTATGGGCTATAAATAAGGGACAACATGTATTAGACTACATGGGAATACACAAGAGACAAAAACCGAGTTCCGACAGTTCACTATGAGTTATAAAAAAATCCCTCGGGTGACAAGTATCTGTTTATTTCCAGAGTAGTGTTGATTAGATCTCGAATACGTAAGTTTTCTTGAAACACTATTGCAAAAGTTAATTGAATTTTCAATTTATCGATTGGCAAAAAGTTGAGGGGTGGAATGACTAACGCCTGTCCTTGAATAAAGTGAGATCAAGGCCACACCCTAGGGTGGATGAATCATTGCAATTTTCTCCCCTTGCCATTTGGGGATTATTGCAGATTATTGGTCGCTAAATGAATGAATGAATGAAAAAATCACTGCAGTATTTCTCCGGAAGCTTCAAGCTTCTACTGGAAGCTTCAAGCTTCTAGAACAAATAGATATAGAAACTGTTAACAGACTGAGCAGCAAGCATGTGCTATGAATGTATAAACATAATTCATGTTAAATCCAAAGACATGTATTGTTCAATGTGTCCACTAATTAATGTATATTACTGCATAGGAGGATTCCGGAGCCTCACTGCGTCAGCTTTAGTATCATTGTTTATTGCTGAAGATAAAAGCTCTCGTTTGTCAATTATTACCAACGCTCTCATGATTATAACCAGGATAACTTTAAAGCGTCTTTTGGAGCTCTAGACTCGTGAGAGATAGTGAATTAGAGGTTTTAAAGGATTGTATTATTATCAGAAGCAATAGATAATTGGACACGCGTTTTCGTGACTTTATTACCACTGACAGTCGACAAACTTTCTCGTAACATTACTTTTATCAAAGTGGGAAAACTTATTCAATACATTGTTCGAGTAGTAAGTAACTCAAATTAATACCCTTACGGATTTTACCAACACTTCTACTACCAGAAACATAAGTGATACAAAAGAAATATCACAAAACAATAATTATTAGAAGTCTAGCAAGGAAGTAACAGTTTGTCAGGCGGAAAACACATGAACAACACTCGTTTTCCTCCTAACTTGCTCTAAAAATTACTTGCTTCTCATACCTGTTATTAATCAGACATAACAAATGTTGTTATTGGACCCCAATTAGGGTGATAATAGGGGCAATTAGCATTACAGGCCAAAATACCGACACAGGCTGAAATTAAATTATTTTACGGCCAGATTTGATGAAGTGCAACTCATTTGCAAATTTAGAGTCCCTCGTGTCGCTTTCTAACATTTCAATTTCGATTCAGTTGGATAATTTTTCACGGACGTTTCCGGAATTTTTTAGCAAAATGTGTCTATAAATCAAAATTCGCTTAGATTAATGTTGGAATAGTAATGAAAGAGAGATAACACAACATCTGGTATTGCGACCACATTAATGTAGGCAACTGCATATACACAGTTTTGTGGCAGACAAACTAATAATTTTATCAAAATGAGTGTTATCTGCGTTATGAATGAAATTGACATTACACAGAGCAACATCGGGTAATGAAAGAGTTTTTTTTTAAGAGGCGAATTTGGATTGTAAAGAGAAAATTGTAACGGATCTAAAAAATTGTTTCATATATGAGCAAAACAAAAATGGTTTGTGTTATTAGCTAATTTAATTATTCTTCCATTCATTGGTTTCAGTCGGGATGAAATGCAAGTGATTTTTTTTTACAGTTTGTTGTAGTATTTACTAGACGAAAATAAATAATTTATTTCTCAGAAATGGTAAAATTTAATTAAGTCGCCCACAAGAAACCCATAATCGTGAGTTATTGTCAACATTGTGTATTCTGTGTTTGTTCCATGGGAGGCAAATGAATGAGTTATGAAACCTAATAAACCCAAATGAAACCTTTTCAGTCTATTTGCTTTCCACAGAACGAAAACATACGCAGCCGCTTGAGAGAGCAGCAATATTGACTAAAAAATTATTAGCGCCATTTTTGTTTGGGGAAATTTTCCTAACGGAGGTGTGAAACAAGATAAATATCAGTCGTGTATTATCTTCTCTACAGAGACGACGGCTGACATTAACACTCGCCATTGATTACATTGTTTCAAAGGCTATGAAAACATTGAACTGACATTCAGCTAATAAAGCCATATACGTGAATTGAAAGAAAGTATAAAACAGGATATCGACATATTGATTTATCAAAGCAAATGAAATTCGCATTCTATACATTTTACTCTGATATTTTCTTCTCGAAACATATAGATGATTTTCATTCGGAATCTGTCATCCAAATAACAATAATTTATTACCTACTCTACTAAAAACTTCGCAGTGCTCACGTATCACCCAAACGATTTGTACATACGTTATGTTGTACCTACTGCATATATTCCACGGACTAAATTGAAATTCTACAACTTTCGACGATATTAAATGTTTATTACATTTGTTTGACAGCTAGTGATAAACACTTTAATTCTAAAAACACTTGTTTTCGGAATTTTTTTTTCACACTTCAAAAATACTATAATTAAATAGAAAAGTTATTCTGGATCTTGAAAGTCCAAGCTGTAGATAGTAATATACGAATAGCCTTTTATTGACATTAATTTATAAGAATAGGCAAAAATAGTTCTAAATTGTAAAAACTCACCCACTTAATTATTCTTGTCGCACAGACTATACTACACACATGATATATAGGGTGGAATTGGATTCTATCAAGTCGTCACGGCCAACTCAGATGGATTGGTAGGTAATAAACGTCATTAGAAATAAATGTGATATGCAACAAACAATACAAGATTGATGCTATTATTAGGATTAGAGTAGGGAATAATAGGATTAAATTTCCAATATTTATCAAACTAAATGCTAATGAAGTGTATACAATATTATTTGATTATTGATTAAAATTTAATTTTTTACCAATAATATAATACAATTTTTCTGTGTTACGTTTAATCGCATACATATCCTAGCCAAATAAAATAAACATATTCTTTAACCAAGTAAATTATTTTAGTTGATTCAATATTAGGTACACAATTAGGTACTAATTTTATCACAATTTTGATAGACCTATTGAAAAAAAATAGGCCCGATTTACAGAGCCTAAATTTGATTGCAATTACATAGATGATCTGTAAATCGACTTCTATAGTTTACAAAATTTGGTTCAATTATTATTGATTACGACATTTTTTAACTTACTTTATAAATTACAAAATGATTTATAAATTAAATCATATGCACGAACTCATGACGATTTTCTATTTACCTAATGCAAATATATCGCAAATACTAAATCAATAAAATTTAACATTCAATTATTGCCAACTTTGTCAAAAATATTGAATTATAATATTTAACGTTGTGACCTGATTAGTTGCTAAATTATTTACATAGTTTTCACAAATTAGCAGCTTTATGTTGGTTTATGTATCACAAATTGAAAAACTGAAAGAAATTTTACATTTTTTACCTAATAATTAAAAGAGTAATCAAAATATGATAAGAATACCTACGAACGGTAGGTAATATGCAGACAAGGGCGACTCGTGTCGTGTTTAGTAATAAAAAAAAATAATAACTTAATAAATTAATAAAACTTTTAAATCAAAATCTAGTGTAAAATGCTCATTTTCTGAATGTAGAAAAAATAAAAAAGGATCTTCTCTAACGAAAATTTTATTCCTACTGAAATCAGGTTGTAGAGACTAGTATGATATCTTTGAAAAAAAATTGTATTAAAAAAAAAACAATAGTTATTTATTGTAAGAGTGTGTTAAGATAGCGTTTTATCCACGCAAGAATGTTTAACCGCGAGAACGTCAGTTCGACTAACACACGACTGCAATATAACGTTTTATCCACAATCACAGGCCCAAATTATTCTAAACTTAAGTAAAAAATAAACTGACATTTAAACGTCACGCCAAATGTACATTCTGTTAAACGTAAGCTGTTACGCTGTTACGCGGTGCGCTGGTTACTAACAGTGGAATAAAGTTACTAGTGGATAAAGTGGTACTTTATACGCATCTAAAGTGTGTAATAAAGTCCCTTTGTAGAGTGATTGTGGATAAATTAAATTTTGTTTTATTTTTGATAAGAGAAATGCCATTGACAAAAAAAAACTTTATTTTTACTATTATTGTTATAACTTATAAGTATATTCGTACAGGGTTAAATTGAAGTATGTTATAACCTATGACATTATGTATACATATATCATCTTAGGAAAATGAGAAATTCATACTACTTTAAAACAAAATAACTGCTAATTTTTTTAAACAAATATTTTTTTGCATAGTGGTTATGAAAGTTGAATTATCATCACGATTAATCGTAGATATAGATTGCTATAGTTATTTCTATAGTTTCTATAGAGTTCGTTACAAAGAGCTCGCGATTCATTACGATTTGATTTATCAAATTGATATCTTTTTGGTCTTTGGGGTTCTTGGGGTTATCACTATGCAAAAAATGTTGTGTACAACTCGTTTTGAAAGTCCTTTTTTTCACTCATTTGTTTAATTAACGCGGACAGAGAGGGTAATCAACTGCAAATTCGTGAAAAAATGTGTGACTTCCAAAACTAGTTGTACAAATAACTATTCCATGTTCCTGGTATCTTATCTTATTAGGCATTTTTCTCTGGGACGCGAACTCTGAAACACTCTGTATACGAGTATCTATAGTGTTTGTAGTTGTAGAGTAACAACCAGCCCGGCCTCAAGAGGTGTACCGTCTGTCCTTTTCGGTGTCATTAACCAGGGCAATGGTGCACTGTCGGCATTTCACCATCGAATCCTATCCCCTCGACCCTCTCACACCCATGGTATCCTCTTCCATTATTTGTCATCCACCAGGTAAAAGGTGTACATTCCTAGACGTGTCTTCGTTCGTTCAGAATCGTGTATTTTCGTCCGGCAGCCGTCTGCTGGTCGCTGCATATTATTGGCCGACAGTCAGTTTCGTGAGCAACGTTCATCTGAATGTTGTACGAAGTGTGTTCGCGAACTCGTGAGGTGCGTGCAGAAAACTCCGGTTGTTTGTGTTTGTGTTCAGTAAAATTAAGGATATTTCTTAATTGTCGGATTATGTCCAACTGTTAGAAGTAAGCCGTAATAATTTTATTTTATCACCAGGTGGTTTACCTTTTCCATGGGTGTGTAGCCTACGCGTGCTGACGGCATAGGTCCCCATGGAAAGTAGCTAGCTTCGTTAAAATAACTTTAATTAATGGATGGAAGTTTCGGATGGATGGATAGCGATGTTCGAGCTCAGTTTTGGGTTATTACGACGAGTTTTGTAAACAAACATACAAGATTTTTGACCCCAAGTGGGTTGCAATGCAAGTTCTTCTCGCTTTGTCTCGAGTCTCCTTCTTCTTGGGAAGTGGTCAATGGGACGAGAAGACCATTGCGAGAGAAGGTTGAACAACGCGAAAAAACAATGTAGCAAAACTTTATTCACTTAAAGTATGATCATCTTATGAAAATACTTTTAAAAAGAAACCAGGGAACTTAATACAATCACGTTTAATTATAAAAAAATAATTAAAATGTAAATTCGAAAATACTCTGAAGTGCATGCAACAAAAAAACATTGAAAAAAGTTAAATAAACATACGAAAAAAATACGAAATAAGTAGATGTAGGATAGTTTTGTTGTCAATGAAAACTCAAAATTTCTGTTAAATTCTTGTGGTGTTATCAAAAGCAATGCAGAAATGGTTTACTTACATACATATTATATTACATACAAATATGTACATTTATTTAAAAAAATTGAAGTAAAGAGATAAAAAAACGTCTTTTTAATTTCAGTTCCTTTGTTCATATTTGAAAAATTTGGTCAGATATTTTGAAAAAGAGGAGGTTGTGATTTCAGAAATTACATGCTTTTTGAGTTAAAAAAATGTTAATGTTTTCTATATGGAAAGTTATATTACAGGTATCGTATTTGATGGAACTTTATAAAAAGTTGAAAAACTTTATGAAATACATATTTTGAAAATGTATTTTCGAGGATATTTTTGATGTGGTAACCTAAAAAACATTGCGGATGTACAGGGTGCTGCATTTTGGATGTCCGAATAGGGAATCTTCGAAACTACGAGGTTTAGCCAAAAACGAGTGATACATTTTGGGGCTCATTTTTTGAGAAAATAATATTGGTAAAAACCGCATCCTGCTGTCGTTTTTTGTTACAGCCAAAAGTTGACATTTTAGCGAAATCTAAAAAATTCATATCTTCGTTATTATAGAAGACAGATTTGAAATAAAGAAATTATGCAGGCACTTTTTTACGTAGATTTTAATAATGTAGTTAACAATTTTTTTCAGTTGTTTGTTTATCCGTAATAAGATAAGCTTGTATTTTTTTAATGGGAATCATAGATGGCTATGTCATTTTTAAAAAGCTTGTTTTTTTTTCTAATCTTATAAATATATATTTGTAACAGATTATTATGATACATTTTTAGCAAAAAAATTATCTTTGATTTTTGTTCGCAGTTGGCCATGAAAAAATGTTGCATCTTCAACTAAAAGGATTTAAACTATATTATTGAACCAGTCACTAATGAAAGAGTTTTCTAAGTACTAATTAATGAAAAATAAATGCAAAATAAATCGTAAATCAACTTATTATCGACTAATAACATTTCTTTGTTTTTAAACAAGCTAACATTACCAATGTAACTTCTAGTGATACATAGAGTGTTGTAAAAAATCGCTTTAATTCTTCAATAAAATATATTTTATATGACACAAAAATGACGATATGGCTATTCAAATACCCAAATTCCGTCTATGTGGAACGTTATCCCACCTCCATTAGATCACCAAAAAAATGTTTTTTCTAATTGTGTTGACTGTTGACATTTGTTTTTCCTACTTTTGGATTTTTTAAAAATATGTATAATAATTTTGCGCTCGCATATTTGTTCAATACTTCTAACGTATCGTATTTTTTATATTTTTATAATCTTATCTATTGTTTCAACTATTTTACAGTTCACAAAACTCTTGATTATTATTTACACATTTGGCGTGAAATAGTTTTTCCATGGCCAACTATTATTAACCAAAATATGTATTTCATTTTTTAAGTATAATTATAAAAAATATTCTGTTACAAATATCTATTTTTAGATAAGAAAAAAATAAGCTTCTCAAAATTGCCATAGCCGCCTATGATTTCCATTAAAAAAAAATACAAGTTTATCTTATCACGGCTAAACCAATAACTGAAAAAAACTGTTAACTACATTATTAAATTCCTCATAAAAAAGTGCCTCGATAATGTCTTTATTTCAAATCCGTATCTTCCATAATAACGAAGTATGAATTTTTTTAGATTTCGCCAAAATGTCAACTTTTGTCTGTAAGTCGAAAACAAAAGACGATAGCGGGATGCGGTTTTAACCAATATTATTTTCTCAAAAAATGAGCCCCAGAATATATCACTCGTTTTTGGCTAAACATCTTAGTTTCGGAGATTCCCTATACGGACATCCAAAATGCAGCACCCTGTACAGATCAATATGTAGGAATCTGTTCGTTGTTTTTGTAGAAACATTTATATATATGATATCAACAAATTTATAATGGCGAGTTGTTTTATATGCAATTTTGTCACTTTTACCTACTATCTTTTACTAATTTCTTATCTGATAAGTACATAATCTCCTAAAAATAAATATATCATTGTTGAAATATTTTCTCATAAAAAAAGTGAAAGAATAAGTACTGATTATTATGAATGAATTTTAATTTTTGCTTAGAAAGAAATACTAAATACATACTTATTTAGTCTTAATTTCCAGTATATGTATATGTAAATCATTTTATTTGTTTGGATTCTGTTTTAGTTTTATGGGTGACAGAAATAAAATTGTGATAAGTAAATACACGAGTTTAAACATTGTATAAAAGATTAGTACTCTAAATTTAAGTATTTTTTATTTCGTAACAATTGATAAAAGCGAATTATTGCTATCTAATACCTACATCCGCATTTCGTAAAATGTATGTACCTATAACAAGAGTTTTTTGTTGTCAAATTTATGGAAAATGGTTAACGCATTTGTAAATTATTGAAGCCTCTTGGTGGATTAAAAAAGCGTAAAAGCTTTTTGATTTAAATGATTACAAGACATCAAACGAAAAAACGATATAATTGTAATCTGCAAAAACATCAAAGCGGGCGAATTTTCAGACAAGCTAGGATTTAAAATATGTATTTTTATGTGTTATGTGTAATAGACCTGAAATAACCAAAAAGAATTAGATTAATAGTATATTATGTTATTAGGAGTAAAAGTGTTGATTGATTTAACCTAGTGAATAACTAGTGTAGTTTATAGTGTGCAAAATGTCGAATGCTGATAGCCTAGGTATTTACACTGTACCTACCTCAACAGAAAATGCTGAAGCAGCGAAAGAGACAACATTGGTAAATGTCAGGTAAAAGTGAAAAACATTTAGGCGAAAATACAGTGTTTTTACCCTATATCTGAAAGGTAAAACTTTTACTTGTGTCATTTAGCCTTAAAAGCATCATTTTTCTGACGTATGCCGATAAAAGTAACTCATTTGTGATTTCAGTCACACTGAATGTTATGTTATGCAAGTATTATATCACAAAATGTAGATGCAATTATGACATTGGCAACTTTATAATTCAACAAAATGCTTATTTTGCAGTGTTGAAATAATTCTAATTAAACCTAGATTTGAATTATAATTATGTGCTCTTTATTTGTGTCCTGTATTATATGGGGACAGTACAATACGTCATTTACAAGCTTACGACCATGTTATTTCCTAGCACGACTATAAACTTAATTGTATTTCGTGAACTTTCGACTCATTACAAAAATTTTACCAAATTTTAATGACTTGCTGATTGTCTGGCCGCAAAGCCGGCTTTGGTAAACATTTATTCTTATTTTGATTTTTAATGTCATGTAAGGTATAACAGGATGCTAAATTTATATTATCTGGCACCTTGTTCTTATTTTTTCATGAATTATGAGTAAAATACGAGAGGGCCGCATGCATGATGTTGCCATAAAAATATCGTAAAAAAAGTCTTAGGAGATCTGTTGTTTTTGAGTCAAAATTGCCAAATTGATTAGTTTTGGTAGCAAATTCTGGTTATCGACTTTACATATTATTATTTTTTTATTCATGAAGGTAATTAATCTAATGAAATTAAATTTTCTCATTTTTCACGTTACAAGGTTCAATTATATTTTTGTTTGCACTTTATATTTATTCGATAGCTTTATACCACCAGGCCAGAGTGTAATAAGATAAGAATTTACTCAAACAAATAAAATTTGCCTTTGAAATTTTTGCTGTCCAAGTGTATATTTAGCCCGAAAATTATAAATAATTATAAGCTTTTTATGCAAATTTCCTTCATTTATATACTAATCTCCTCATCCTCATAAACCAGTGTTTATGCATACAAAATATTGAATTTAACCTAACAAAATGCATATAAACGAAGTTTACGTTGAAAATGAGGTTGCTTGAGGATACGATTTTCAAACACAAGTCAAGACCGGTTTGAATATGTGACCGGTCTCAACTTGTTACTCCCAGGTTACCGCGACTGGTTTTATCGCACTATTGAAACAAATGATCCATAAGTGAAAAATCTATTTCAATCTTGTGGTAATATTGTTGAATAACGTGGTTGACTGTAAATTGAGTTTTAAGTGACTTCAGGGAGGTAGGGAATACATTTCCGCTTGGGAATTTTCTGGCTTAGTAGACAAAAAAAATTGCTCTACCGGAGCAAATACTTTTAATTTTATCTGTTGACCAAAGTGTTACTCAACACATGAATCAGGAAAGGCGCCATTATCGCGATGCGCTTCCTTATCACTATCATATTTATTTTTTTCTTTAAAATAACATCTTGCCGGTTTGGCTTACATTTTAAGTGGAATGTAATATTAGCTTGAATCGTAAATGTGATACAGGATTAGCTGTTAGCAAAAACCGATTCAAAATTTGAGGTGTATATACAACATTAGCTGAAGTAATGAATTGGTTTGGATACATATAAAAAAGCCCTTTTTGATATGCAGTTTTAAAA